AAACTTATCACCAAGAAATCATTATAAAATCAACCTTAAAAAGGAAAAGTTCAAGGACCTCTACCCAATCGAATATTTCCAACTATAAGATTTCAAGGCCCTTGAAATTCCCCTAGTGACAAAATTAGGCGCCAACGAAAAAAATTTTCAATTTTTTTTTGAGTATCCCGCTTAATTATTCCGCGGAACCCCGCAGAGGAAGAACTTAATTTTCTGGAAAAAGGGTAATTGCTTCACAGAAAAAAACTACAAACCCAAGCATGGCAAGGAGGACAATCAAAAAAAAGCAGTTTGCATTAAGCGAACCTACTAGTCGGGCCCGGAAACTGTAAAAACCTGCCCCCTCCACTCTAGGGATTACAACAACCCTGGAAAGTTTCAATGCCCCCATGGAAAGACCCTAATATTCCGGTCCCCGGGGGCCTTGTCCCACTTGGTTATGCATCACCGGCCCGTCCTAAACCACCGAGGGGGCCAAACCGGCCGGGGGGTTAGCCCCGGAACCTTCCAGTACCCCAAAACTCAAAATTAAAATAAATATTAAAAATTTTAAACAAGGTTAAACCCAAATTATTAAATTAAATTACCCCCAAAATGTAAGTTCTGGTTTTCCCCTATAAAGCCCTTGAGATCCCCTAGGGAAAAGAGGGGTTTGTAAAATTAAAAAAAGTTTATTTACAAACTTGGGGGAAAGTTAATGGTAATGACTGAGGATTAAAAGTGGGGAATTTCTGCTTGTTTATTTAGGGAGGAGTTTATTGACCAATTCTTGTGGGAGTGCAAAAAAATCCCCAAAATTAGCCCTTAAACAAAAACCGTTTTTGTTGTTTTTCCCACCAGTGGTTAAATCAAATTTATACTTTTATGGAGCAGAACATGGATAAAATGGGCCTTATTTCCCCCTTTTCCTTAAGACACACCATCCCTGAAGAACAAATAGGTGAACAGTCAAATTTATTTCAGAAGTATTTAAAGATTCTATTTTAAATTTAATTTTTGGTGGTTGTGTTCATTCATACAAATCAAATAGTAACATTAAACCCATTTTCTTTTTTTAGTGTGGTATAAGTTTTTTGGGTTAATGGTACCAAAGGCAGGCTATAAATTGCCATAGCACTAAGTCAAGTTCCCCGAAACATTGACAATAAGGAGGAAGAAAATTTGCCACCGAATGGCTGGGGGAAAATTGGCCCCAAAAAGGGGAAGGAAGTTGAGATTTGAAAAAAACCTAGGAATCAGGGGCAAGGGAACTGGAAACAAAGGGTTAATCAACAATACTCAAAGTTTTATGATTACAACAATGAGGAAGTAGAACTTAATCCTTTTTTTCCTAAAAAAACTGGCCAAATTTCCTGTTTTTAAAAGGGAAAATTAAACCCACTACCAAAATTAACACCTTAAAAATCATATTTAATATGGGGCAAACAGATTTTAAAAAAATTCTTTTTTTAAAAGGGGGGTAAACAAACCCCCCTGAGAAGACCCTTTTTTTAACCTCAGGGTTAAATTGGAAAACTTATACTACCATGGGAAAATTTCTTCTTGAATTTTAAGAGTTTTAAAGGGGGAATCTGGTTCTTGGGGACGCAGAGGAATAAAAATGAACCACCCCCAAAAAAGGCCCTTCCCCAAAACGTTTGGGTTTCAATGGCCCAAACCTTTTGGTTGTGTGATTTCCATACCTTTTTAAAATTCAGGCAGTTCGGTTTTTTAAATTTCCGGTAATTATTAACTTTCCTGATACAAAATACCACCCTTTTAGAAGCTTTGTAGTTTTGGGACAGCCAAAAATTTAATTATTTTGTTTTCCCGGGGGGAAGAACTTTTAAGTATTCAATAAAGCCAAAGGATAAAAGGCTTGTTTTCAAAATTCCACAAAAATGGGGGGGCCACAATAGCTTTGAGAGCATTTAGCCTAGTTTGCATTTCTTGTTTATTTGGGGTATAGTGATTTTTTAAATTTGGGTAGGGGAAGCGCAGCGGCAGTATAAAAATGACTAGCACGAAAGCAAGTCTGACCCGAAACTACTCAGAGCCACATCGGGAGGAAGACAACGTCAAGGCCCGGGTAATCAGGCGGGGAAAGAAGGTGGGGAGCTCCAAGAAACGACCAGGAAGTATGTGAGGAGCTAAAAACATAGATTTCAATTTAGTATTACAGTGGGGGCTAAAGGGGACACTGGGAAGAAAAAACAGGGGGGTACTCAAAAAGGGGGATATACCAACAAGTTTTGGATGAATTACCACAACTAGGAGGGGTGGAGAAGCCCTAATGCCTTGATACCTCAAAGGCGTGGGACCAACATCTCTCCGGGGGTTTTTAGAGAGGAGCAGACACTACAAGGCCACTAACCAAAATTTTCAACACTTCCCTTGAAACGGGGCACACCTTAAATATGGAAAAAGGGCAAATTAGTCCCCATCTCTAAGAAAGGAGACAGAAATGAAGCCTAAATTTAGCCCATGTCACGACGTGTATAGTAGCAAAGTCTGGAAAAGATTTTCAGGGGAGAGTGGTGGAGCACCGGGAGCGGAACAAGATTAAAAACACAGCCAGCACGGATTCGGGAAAGGAAAATCCGTGTCACAAACCAAAACTAATTTTAGACAAGGAAACTGAAGAAAAAATGAGGGAGGGGGGGGTTTTGCATTTTTTCTTGGACTGCAAGAAGGCCTTCGACACAGTTCCTCACAAGAAATTTGGGACAGAAGCTAAAGGGAAAAGGATGTATAACAGAAGGGCACGCAGGATCAAAATACCTAACGGGAGGGAACAGCGATCATGGTCCTAAAGGGTACACAGTGGGCGCCGTGACGACGGGGGCCCACAGGGGGCAGTCCTGGGGCCATGCATTCTTGGGATATGTAACGACATGACGGAAGGGTAGACCAAATTCCCTGTTTGCAGATAATTTAAGTTAATAGGAGAATTTAAAACAGACTGGACCAAAAGGCCAAAGAGACCTGGACACTGAATGCCTGGTCCAAAACTGGCTCCTAGGATTTTAACCCCCCCCAAATGCAAATCAGAAGATCGGAGGAGGGCAAAGAAACCGCAGGCGAGTATAGGGTAGGGGGCAAAGGCTGCAAACCTACTCAAGAGAAAGACCCAGGGGTGAGTAAAAAACCGATACATCGCCCGAACACCCATTAAACCCAAAAACCCGGGGCATATGGGGCTTGGCAAACCTAGAATAGCGTTTCCGGGACCCTGTAAGGAATCGTTTAAGACTCACACACTGGTTTCCTCAGGCCCATACTGAGTACGCAGCCCCTTTTTGGAACCCACACCGGGCAAACACTCAAAAAATTGAGAAATGCAAAAGTTTGCAACAAGGCTAGTTCCAAGCTAAGGGGAAAAATTTCCCATGAAGAAAATAAGGGAAATCGGCCTGACGACACGCAGGGCAGGAGGGGCAGGGGGGACATGAAACAAAAAAAACAAAAAAACTAAAAAAAAAAAAGGAATAGACAAGGGGGACAAGCAGGAAGTTCCAAATAGGACACAGAAAAAAGGGGGCACAATTGGGAAACTGAAACTCAATGATCAAAAGGATGTTAGGAAGTATTTCTTCAGTTATAGAGTAGTTAGGAAGTGGAATAATCTGGCAAGCGATGTAGTGAAGGCAGGAACTATGCATAGTTTTAAGACGAGGTATGATAAAGCTCATGGAGCAGGGAGAAGGACCTAGTAGCGGTCAGTGAAGAGGTGGGGCTAGGAGCTGAGTCTCACCCCTGCAACCACAATTAGGTGAGTACTGCAACATCATGGAATCTTGATTCTGAGGACATGTACATAACCTTCACGATTACGACAACTACTACTACAACTAACCCATCTCTTTTTAAACCTACTTCCACTGAGGAATCACGCCTACCAGTGACTATGCCCTCGTCTGCTACACGTCCCATTTCCGCCTGACGTTAGTATATAAGCGCCAGACTCCTTGCCTCTGCTCAAGAAACTCCACGACTACGGTACTTTCCGCATCAACTCCAAGGCTGAGGGACTGATTACCTCATTTTCTGTATATAGTTCTACTGTCTTCAAATTATGTCCTGGAATTTGTATTGATAAAGCCACTGGATGGCGAAACGTCTACAATACAGCTACCCAGATATTGCACATCTGTCTTCATTTCATCTTGTCGGTATTGTATACTATTCTTGTACAACATAAATTATCATACATAGCAGCATATGTGTAGGTTACCTAGGATAACCAAAGAGGATATTTGTGTCTTTATGAGATAACGAATATGTATAAAATATTTGTAAATTCTTTTAAAACTATCGTGACCCACTTCTGGTAGCTAAATTATTTCCACATTTACTTATTACAACTATTATGACTTAGCCAAGTATATCTCCTTTATAGTATAATAATATTTCCTTTATAGTATAATAGGGGCTCCATGGCCTGGTGGCAAAGGCTCTCGCTTCACACGGCGAGTGTCCGGGTTCGATTCCCGGCGTAAGGGTGGAAACATCGGACATGTTTCCTTACACCTGTTGTCCATGTTCACCCATCAGTAAAATGGATACCTGGGTGTTAGTCGACTGGTGTGGGTCGCATCCTGGGAAAAAACTGACCTAATTTGCCCAAAATGCTCAGCATAACAAGCAGCTTTCTATAGTTGTATGTCATTGATGTCAGCTAGGACTGTATACCTTGTACATGTACTTGTAGTAAATAAAGATATTATTATTATTATTTATAGTATAATATCTCCTTTGTAGTATAATAATGTATTAAAAGGACCCCAATGGAAATGTCACTATAACTTTTTTGGTTTATTCTAGGTTTTCTACACATATGCTGCTATATACGATAATCTATGTAACTATATTTGTTTACATCTAAATAAACTTATTTATCTCAGTCAGTGTTTCCAATACCCTCAAGAGGAGGATTCATACGGTCCTCGGGCCGTCAGGGCTCAACCCAACAAGGATAATTATGGCCATTCCTCAGTGCTACGGCGTAAGTTATCAATGGCCCTTATAAACCCAACAACGAGGAGTCTCATCATTCATCCATTCATCAGCGTAATAATTTCTACATAACCGCTTATGTTTCCATTTACCTCGCTATATACACTCGTGACTGTTTTGTAATCACTTTGGTACTTATACGAGTTGTTACGGCTTAGGTTAAACTTAATACAAACTAGCAAAGGACGAACACATGTGATGGTAGGTGACTATCGGTATACCTCAGTACTTGAAGTATTGTAACTTCTTCGCTGTGTTGCCCGCTTGAGCAACCAGTTTATTTTAGAGCAGCAGCTCATCCTGTGAGCGGTACCACCAAAGACTGGGATTACAGAAGTCACAACAGATCTTTGTCAGACCCCCTCACTAGATATAGTTAAAATCCTTAAAGATTTTTGCTTTGGGCTATTAACTCGCATTTAGTAATCCAAGATAACACAATAAAATCACTGTCTGTAGCTTACTTCTTTTGATCTTCTTTCCCAGGATGTAATCCACAGCAGTCATCAAGCACCCAGGTAAACAAAGGGAACAAGTACTGTATAAGGACACATGCCCAATGTTCCACTTGTGCTCTTTATAAGCCCTGGTGCTTCAGATGTGAGCTCTAGATGCAGGTGGCTGACTTGGTAATGGTCTGAGCTCTCTTACTGTGGGACCAGGGTTCAGTCCCTGGACTTTTGGATATGCTGGACATGTCCTTGTACATGCTGCTCTTGTTCACCTGGCATTAAGTATGTACCTGGGTGTTAACCACCTGTTGTGAGCCAATGGAAATAAGCCAAACAGTCTGATGATATGGCTTTATTGGGTGATCCTAGGTTACTAGCCCTCATAGTTAATAATCTCAGCAAAATCTTGTCATTATATTATAATTGACAGAATCCTGTAAAACTTACTGCCTCACCAATAATGCTCACCCACGCACACCTGGACTGCCCCCATAATCTTTCATCACTTTACCTAATGTAACCTAACCTTCTTATAATTTATTCACATAATTAATCTATACAGTATAATATGTGGATTCAGCATCAAGAAAATTCAAGTACAATACAGTACTGTATCTTATTATTACCACTGCAAACATTGGTCATTTACAATACTAGGATGCCATCTTATCAAATACCAGTTTATTAATTTACATGGTGCAAAATGTGGATACAGTCTTAAGTTTTTAGAAACCATTAACAATGAAGTGATTTGCCATAGCCTGTAGGAGTTGCTTGAATGTCTCTAAATGGTTGAAACCTCACATTATCTTCCTGAAAGCAACTTGCCATAGCTGGCTGAACCTCCTTAAAAACCTTCACTCAACTTTCATGGGGGGTGAATCGTTGAACTCTCCTTCAATTGCATTCGGCCCTAATTTTATCGAAACTAGACTATGGTGACCAGATATATTCTCCAGCTTCTCCCACAACTGTTTATCAACTTGATTCCATTCATCATCAGGAACTAAGTTTATGCCTGGGTGCTTTTCACTCCTCTCCTGTCAAGAGCCTATATGCCCATTGCCTCTATTATTTTGTTCGCTCTCATGACCTTCACGACCCTTCTACATACAAGATAGTAACAGACGTTAATTGAGGTCCATTACTTATTCGCTGCCCATTTACCCTGTCCCTTTTCTCTTCATCTTCACTCACCCTTGTTTTCTCTTCAGTTTTTTATTTTTATTTTATTATCACACTGGCCGATTCCCACCAAGGCAGGGTGGCCCGAAAAAGAAAAACTTTCACCATCATTCACTCCATCACTGTCTTGCCAGAAGGGTGCTTTACACTACAGTTTTTAAACTGCAACATTAACACCCCTCCTTCAGAGTGCAGGCACTGTACTTCCCATCTCCAGGACTCAAGTCCGGCCTGCCGGTTTCCCTGAACCCCTTCATAAATGTTACTTTGCTCACACTCCAACAGCACGTCAAGTATTAAAAACCATTTGTCTCCATTCACTCCTATCAAACACGCTCACGCATGCCTGCTGGAAGTCCAAGCCCCTCGCATACGAAACCTCCTTTACCCCCTCCCTCCAACCTTTCCTAGGCCGACCCCTACCCCGCCTTCCTTCCACTACAGACTGATACACTCTTAACAACGGAGTTCCTTTTCTAAGACCACGTTGGTAAACGAATTTGTTACTAAATGAGGAGCATACTATAATGGTAGTGGGTTTGTGTCAACCATCTTTGATATTGTTTTAATGTCACTTTTGCACTATTTATAACATTTTTAGTATATTTTTACATGTTTATACAGTAGTGTACTGTATATTGTAATAAACAGAATAGAGGAAATCAGCTCCAATATACATTATTTAGGTATGCTTACTGCTCAGAGAGCCCATCATAAGTCTGAGATGTTGGTAAACGAGTACGTCACTAAGCGAGGAAAGGCTATATTGCATTCACAGACCCCCCCCTAACACTGTCCACACTGTATGCATCATGTCCTTGCCATCTCTATACACACTGTACTGCTGTAACCAGAGTAGCACTGTGCTCGTGGTCTCCCATCTTCAGTATCTCGTTCAAATTATTTTTAAATAATCAGTGGCTGAAGTACATATTACTTCCTATTGCACCTTATTCCATTATTCTACTACTATTTGACCCTTCAAGGGAAAAAGGTGCCTTGTTGGTGGTGAAGCCTCATAATTCAAGGAATCTGAGCTACTCTACTTTTCTTTGTATCAAACTTGATTACCTAATTGCCTAATAGGCACTGTATGACCCTTGTGAATTTAGTTCTCCTCATGATTATAATAATAGTCTGTCATTATTTTAAGAAAAACTTCTTAGTAACTTTGGTAATGCTTTATTCAAAGTTTTCATCTGTGCCTTGATCTCCCAGATATCCCTGTTGATAGTTCTAAGGAATCTTTTTTCTTTAATCATGTATATGGTTGTCTTCTCTTTTCCTCCTATCATGTACCATGTAGCTCAGTGATAATGCATTATTTTCACAGCCAGAGGGCCAGGTTAAATCTTGGGCAGTGTTGAATATATAAGCCAGTCTCCTAACACCTACTGCAGGTGTTCACATGGTTGACTGTCATGGGTTGCATCCTGGGAAAGGTCCTGAGGACCCTTAAGCCACATTATTTGATCTTTTGGGTTACTAACCCTTTTTGGCTAATAATCCAGATGAGGCCCTCTTTTCTTCTTTCTTTTGTTTTCAGCTCTTCTTCATATCTCTTATTTTTATAGATCCGAGAGCTATTTTGATTCTCAGCTTGTAATGTTTTCTGTTTTTTTTTACTTGTTTAGTGAAGTGTGAGCACCACACCACCATTGCATATTCCAACACTGGTCAAACATAAGTTTTAAACAGCTTTTTTTTTTTTTTTTTTTTTTTTGATATTTCCCTATTCATATGTCTCAAGGTTATTTTGTAACATACCAGTGAAGCATGAGTTTTTCACAATTTTATTTATGATGTCTTTTGGTGATAATCTTGCCAGTAGTATTTATCACCTTGATATTAAAATCCTCTGTTAATCACCAAGTTTTTCCCATTAGGAAAATATTTTTTCAAGGAAAGTACTATAAGCACCTTTGTCATATGGTCTTAAACAATTTACTGACGTAAACCTGATGCTTCATACAACAAACATGTAATGTGGGATGGGAGAGGAGGGCAAACACTTGATATAATATTCAGACTATGCCATACTATACTGCAGCACATGTTCATTTAGAAAGTTCTACAGTATGCAATCTGTTCTGTATATGTACCTCTCTCCTGACTCATCTTTAAATGTCCTGCATAACTTAGTGGCAATCCTTACCCAACCTGTTTCTGCTATTAGGCAATTTTAAATACCATTGTTTCCTTCGAAGCAAGTATCATTGAGAATTGTGGTGACCTGTTGGAGTGCTTGTCTCACCTTTTGCATACATCCCACCCACAAGAAGGATATTGTAGAATTAACACACATTTAAAGTATAGTACAGTATCTTTGGTTACCACCACTGTTCATATTACTTAATGATAGAGGCACTTTTTATAGCTAACATATAATGATATGGTTAATAACAAGTGAGGAATACTGTGTATGATATTCAAGTGTAACACTGCAAGCATTAGTTATTTGTGGGACTAATAAATAAATGATGTTATACATTTTTTAACATTGCTCATCAAGGTTGAATGGAGAGTGTGAGAAAGAAGAAAAAATATATGCTTTTAGGATAAAAGTTCAAACTAATAACTTTTATTTGCCCTATTGTTTTTCTAGTATCTTCAATTTGGAAATAACTAGATCACATTACCATACATTACTGTAAACTAGCTCATCATACATAGAGTACAGAGGGTGTCAGGATTATTTCCTGATTTTCAGACATGTCAGTCTATCACGACGAGATTGAAATTGAGGACTTTGACTTCGATGAAGAAACAGAAACGTATTACTATCCTTGTCCATGTGGGGATCGCTTCGAGATAACTAAGGAAGAATTAGCCTCAGGGGAAGATACAGCAACCTGCCCAAGCTGTTCACTCATTGTCAAAGTCATATATAACATTGTAAGTGAATCTTTACTTGTATATACAGGTAGGCCCTGCTTACAGCATTTCACTAATGCAGCGGTTTTCAGTTATACCCATTCTTCAATTATTCAGACTTCCTACAATAAATATATTCACCACTCCCTATAAGCTAAGGATGAAAATATTTTAAGGTAAGTAATGTGGGTACTGTATGCATTTTTTAGGCCTAGCTATATTGCTCACTTAATATATGATAGTGTAAACATGTTATCAGACTTTTATATACATTTCAAAGTGGAAAAAAAATGGATGGGGGGGCTATGATTCACTTTACAGTGGTAGCCCAGAACCTAACCTGCTGTATAAGCAGGGCCCTCCTGTATAGTCTATTTCTGTATATATAATGATCCTGTATATACAGTTGTCCCCCGCTTTTCGTAGTTCCCGGCAATCGTAAATTTCGCCAATCATAGGGGTATTTTCGTATAAACATGGACTCGCTTTTCATTGGTTGACTCGCGAGTTGTAGTTCGTCCGGGACGCGTACCCACGGCGTCAGCCGGGGTGGCAGCCAGTCTGGCATTGTTTACCAGTGAGCGAAGGTCCCCTCATGTGCTCCAGCGAAATATTTCATAATATTCCATTTATTTTAGTGCTTGCAAGTACTAAATAAGCTACCATGGCTCCAAGGAAAGCTCCTAGTGCCAAGCCTGTAGTAAAGAAGGTGAGAAATATGATTGAATTTAAGAAAACCATCATTGAACAATATGAAAGTGGTACAAGTGTGGCCGAACTGTCCAGGATGTATAAGAAACCCTACACAACCTTATGTTCCATAGTGGCCAAGAAAAAGGAAATAAAGGACGCTGTTGTTGCAAAGGGAGTAACTATGCTGACAAAAATGAGATCACCAGTACTGGAAGAGGTTGAGAAGTTATTATTGGTGTGGATAAATGAGAAACAATTAGCAGGAGATACTCTTATGACTTCGATTATTTGTGAAAAGGCTAGGCAGTTGCATGAAGATTTGGTAAAGAAATTGCCTGCAAATAGTGGTGATGTGAGTGAATTTAAGGCCAGCAAAGGCTGGTTTGAGAGATTTAAGAACCGTACTGGCATACACAGTGTGGTAAGGCATGGTGAGGCTGCCAGTTCGGACCACAAGGCAGCTGAAAAATATGTGCATGAATTCCAGGAGTACATAGAGGCTGAAGGACTGAAACCTGAACAAGTGTTCAATTGTGATGAAACAGGCCTCTTTTGGAAGAAAATGCCAAAGAGGACCTTCATTACACAAGAGGAAAAGGCAGTGCCAGGACACAAGCCTATGAAAGACAGGTTGACGCTAATGTTGTGCTAATGCTAGTGGGGATTTCAAAGTGAAGCCATTACTAGTGTACCATTCTGAAAATTCCAGAGTGTTCAGGAAAAACAATGCTATGAAGAGTAAATTGTGTGTTTTGGAAATCTAATAGTAAGGCATGGGTCACGAGGGAAATTTTCGTCGAGTGGTTCAATGAAGTGTTTGGCCCTAGTGTGAAGGAGTATCTCCTGGAAAAGAAATTGGATCTCAAGTGCCTGCTAGTAATGGACAATGCACCTGCTCATCCTCCAAACTTAGATGACCTAATTTTCGAGGAGTTTGGGGTCATCACAGTAAAGTTCTTGCCCCTGAATACCACTCCTCTCCTCCAACCCATGGACCAGCAGGTTATTGCAAACTTTAAAAACTCTACACAAAAGCAATGTTTCACAGGTGCTTGACTGTGACCACAGACACTCACTTGACCCTAAGGGAATTTTGGAGAGAACACTTCAGCATCCTCCATTGCATAACCCTTATAGGTATGGCTTGGGAGGGAGTGACTACCAGGACTTTGAACTCTGCCTGGAGAAAATTGTGGCCAGATTGTGTCGACAAGAGGGATTTTGAAGGATTTGGGACTGACCCTAATGAGCCTATGTCTGTTGTAAAATCAGTTGTGGCACTGGGGAGTTCCATGGGGTTGGATGTGAGTTTGGAGGATGTGGAAGAATTGGTGGAAGACCACAATGAAGAGCTCACCACTGAGGAGCTGCAAGAGCTTCAGCAGGAAGAGCAACACATCGCAGCTCAGAATCTTGCTGCAGAGGAGGAGGAGAGAGATGGAAGAAGGTGCCTTCTTCAGAAATTAAAGAGATTTTTACTATGTGGGGTAAGATGGAAAGCTTTATGGAGAAACATCACCCAAACAAGGTTGTTGCAAGCCAGGTTGGCAACATGTACAGTGACAAAGTCTTGGGCCACTTTAGGGAAGTGTTAAAGAGACACCAGAAACAGAGCTCTCTCCACAGTTATTTTGCGAGACAGGACTCCAGTGACTCTCAAGGTGGTCCTAGTGGCATTAAGAAACAGAGAAGAGAAGCAACCCCAGAAAAGCAAATGGTACCTGAGGTGTTGATGGAAGGGGATTCCCCCTTCCAAACTATAAACAATCCACTCTCCTCCTCCAGTCTCCCATACACTAAGAAGAATCTCCAATAAAGGTAAGTGTTATGCTGTTAATGTTTCATTCATCATTTCCCATTGTATTGTTTATGTACTACATGTATATTTCATGTAAAAAAAATTTTTGTTTTAATACTTCTGGGTGTCAGGAACGGATTAATTGTATTTACATTATTTCTTATGGGGAAAATTGATTCGTAAATCGTAAATTTCGTTTATAGTAACGGCTCCAGGAACGGATTAATTACGAAAAACGAGGGACCACTGTATATGAAAATTTTTCTTTTTCAGGCCACCCTGCCTTGGTGGGAATCGGCCAATGTGTTAATAAAAAATAACAATAATGATCAACACCATCAGCTGCTGATTATTATATTTTTATCACAGTAATACAGCCTGCTTTAAAGAAGATACATTACTATCCTTTTACAGCATGAAGTCAGTATAGGCTTCCTTAATTTGTCATGCTAAATATGACAGTAGCAAAAAAAAAAAAATGATGGATGTGATTATAATGTGTTAAGTAGTTTGGCCAGAATGCATTTGCATACCAGTGGCTTTCATTTGTGCTTGACAATGTTTTATTACATGTAAACTACATTATTTTTGTACAGCATAAAAAGAAATAAAAAAATTTAATGTTAAATCTTTAGCTCTAGATATGGGTATTGGGGTATTGGTTGAGTTACCATATATCAGTACATGTATTTTATTCATAATACAGCACAGTACAGTGAATCAAGTTTTTTTTTAAATTTTTCTTAGTACAGCCTCTTCTTACTTAGCGACGTACTGGTTTACCGATGCCTCAGGCTTACAACGGGCTCTCTGACTAGTATTCGTACTTAAATAATGTATATTAAAGCTGTTTTCCTCTATTCTGTTTATTTCAATATAAAGTACACTACTGTATAAACATTTAAAAATATACAAGAAATGTTATAAATGCTGCAAAGGTGACATTTAAACAATATCAAAGATGGTTGACACAAACTATTATAGTATGCTTCTCACTTAGCAACGAATTCATTTAACAACGTGGTCTTAGGAACGGAACTCTGTCGTTAACTGAGGAGAGGCTGTATGTATATTAATTTTAATGTAGGAAGATTGTTCTCTCTATAAACAACAGTCAGCAATATGTTCCAACTACAGTATCTTGTACTTGTGCATAGGAGTGTGCAGAGATTATGACAGTCCTGTATTTTTCATATTCTTATTTTAAATGTGCTTTTTCAAAGAGTGAGAATAGCATACAGTAACAGAATGGATTGCGCTGTATGACCCTTAAGGGTTTTGAACTTTCCCATGAATACAATATTAGTTAGAATAGCTTAGGAATGTTCCTAGAATGTGGGTAATTATTGACTTTTTTTTTTTTTTTTTTTACAGGAGGACTTTGCAGACTATGAAGAAGAAAGTGCCACTGTTACCAAAGAGAAGCCATTAGTAACAAACTAAATTAACACAAGGGAAAAGCACTTTTACTACAGTATCACTTTTGATATACTGTAGCTATATGTGCATCAAAGCTCTTTTACACTCATTTGTCATGTTATTCTAATAATACCTTTATATTTTCTGGAATGTGTAGTTTACTAGAAGCGGTTAACTTGTGTATACAGTATCTCTAAAGTTACATTGTTCTTTTGCCATAATTTTTTTTCATATGTAGTATAAAAAATTATGAAGGTTTAACTGTCATTCTTGAAGGCATGTATATTACTACTGTATATAAGAGAGATTAGATTTATTTACCTGAAACAGTATTGTTTTCATAAGAAGCAGGATGGGTGGCCGAGGACGTGGTGGTAGAGGCAGGGGCCGGGGGATGACCCTAGAGCAGCTTGGTGTGCAGAAAGGTGAAGCTCTACCTGAGAGAGTTGTTGGCCCCCCTGAAACATATCCTCCTCTGGAATTCCGTCCTGTTCAACCAACCCAAGAGAAGAATCTAGCAGAGTCCTATCTATTGGTAGTTAAAAAAGAGTATAGAGAACACATGCAGAATTCTCAATATTATATTCAACCTGGGGTCAAGAGACCTGACATTGAGAGGTACTCAGACAGATACCAGCTACTGGCTAGCCATCGGGGACGATTAACACTCAATTGGTCACGATTTCCAAAGGAACTCCATCCCTCTACGCTGTCTGCCTCAAGTAAAAAGAGAAAGGCTTGTTTAACAAAAATTAATGTTAAAAAACTCAAAACCAAAGATGTTAATGTTAGTGAAAGACTTGAAGCATTAGAAAAAAAAGAAGCTACTCAGGGTGTTGAAGAAAATGAGGAGGGAGAAGATGAAGATAAAGCTGAAGGTGAGACATTTGAAGAACTAGAAGAAGCTGATGAAGAACTAGATGAAGGGACGGATTATGTAAACAACTACTTTGATAATGGTGATAATTATCTTGATGAAGAAGATGATGCACTTGAAGAAGGTGGAGTTTTCTAAAATGTTGTGAATTTAGAACTGAAGTGTTAACAATTTTGGGCAAAGTTTGTGCCTTATGTGCTGTCTTGCCTTCTTCTTGTATGTAATTTAAATTATTTGCTCTACTGCAGTCCTTGCACGGTGATATATCAAGATAAAGATTTTTCACTGATGTTATAATTTAACACTGACCTGCATTTACAGAGAATTTTGAACAAAAATTATCTTATTTATCTTCAGGTAATTTTGATGCTTATAATTAAGTTTGTAATGCAGTGTAGGTCTGACTACATGAAAAGGATGTAAAATTTTTATGCATTAAATATCAGGTTTTATAAAATCAAATATTAGGATTTATGTTACTGTGCAATGCTTTATATTGTTTAACATTTTTTTAAATATGGTATTGTAAATGTTTACTAAATATTTAAAGATAAATGCTTTTCATATTCTTCCTTGCTACAGAATTATTACATTAGTAAAGAAAGTCTTTTGCTAAAAAAAATATGCTTACACTTGGTTATTACTGTTCTTAGATTGCCTTGAAAATTGAATAGTTATTTTGTCATTGTGCTCATTTCTCATATTATTAAGAAATTCATGTAAAGTGCTACATGACCCCATAAGGATCATGTAGCACTACATTACCTCGTACGGGGACGTGTAGTGCTACTCGGCAGAGGTGACAGAGACAGTAGAAGGGAAGAGGTCAGAATTTTGCTTACTGAGTTGGCTTATAATAACAGCAGCAGTCAATATTTTGAAATACATACTGGATGCAGTTTTGTGTCCCCTCTGGTAATTCCACCCACCTGGACAGTCTCTACAGTAGACCAGCTAGATAAGACGAAGTTTCTATCCAGTAAGGTCACTGGGGGTGGCAAAAACAGCTGATAATAATATGTGAAAGGACTCAAATATTTTGTATACTAGGGAAGGACAACAGAAATGAGGCTGAAAGATGTAGAAAGGCATAGATGACAAGACTCAAACTTAAGAACAAGAACATAAGAAAGGAGGAACACTGCAACAGGCCTGTTGGCCCATACTAGGCAGGTCCTTCACAATTCATCCCACTAACAAAACATTTGCCCAACCCAATTTTCAATGCTCCCCAAGAAATAAGCTCTGATATGCAAGTTCCACTCAAATCCAACCCCTCTCACTCATGTATTTATCCTACCTAAATTTGAAACTACCCAAAGTCCTAGCCTCAATAACCCAACTAGGTAGACTGTTCCACTCATCAACTACCCTATTTCCAAACCAATACTTTCCTACATCCTTTCTAAATCTAAACTTATCTAATTTAAATTCATTACTTCGGGTTCTCTCTTGGAGAGATATCCTCAAGACCTTATTTATATTTCCTTTATTAATACCCATCTTCCACTTATACACTTCGATCATGTCTCCTCTCATTCTTCATCTAACAAGTGAATGTAATTTAAGAGTCTTCAATCTTTCTTCATAAGGAAGATTTCTAATGCTATGTATTAGTTTAGTCATTCTACGCTGAATGTTTTCTAACGAATTTATGTCTATTCTGTAATATGGAGACCAGAACTGAGCTGCATAATCTAGGTGAGGCCTTACTAATGATGTATAAAGCTACAGTATAACCTCTGGACTTCTGTTGCTTACACTTCTTGATATAAATCCCAATAATCTATTTGCCTTATTACATACGCTTAGGCATTGCTGTCTTGGTTTAAGGTTGCTGCTCACCATAACCCCCAAGTCTTTTTCGCAATCTGTATGGCTAAGTTCTACATCATTTAACTTACAAGTGCTAGGGTTATGGACACTCCCGAGCTTCAGAACCTTGCATTTATCTACATTGAACTGCATCTGCCACTTTTCTGACCAAGAATAGAGTTTGTCTAAATCCTTCTGAAGTTCCCTAACATCTACGTTTGAATCAATTATCCTATCTATTTTTGGGGTCATCGGCAAATTTGCTCATATCACATAGTAATACCCTCATCAAGGTCATTGATATATATTATAAACAACAACGGGCCTAAGACTGATCCCTGTGGTTTGCCACTTGTTACAGATCCCCACTTGGATTTAACCCCATTTAAGCATACTCTCTGCTTCCTATTAGTAAGCCATGACTCGATCCATTACAGCACTTTTACCCCAATGCCATGAGCTGCCACTTTTTTTAACAGTCTCTGGTGCAGTACTCTATCAAAAGCCTTACTAAAATCTAAATAAACTATATCGAATTCTTTATCATGATCAGCAGCCTCAAAAGCTTTACTGAAGAAGGTTAATAAATTAGTTAGGCAGGAATGGCCCCTCGTGAATCCATGCTGAGTATCATTAATCAAGCTATGCTTATCCAGATGGCTTCTTATAATATCAGCTATAATCGACTCTAGTAATTTGCCAACAATTGAGGTTAGGCTTATTAGGTGGTAATTTGACGGTAACGACTTGTCCCCTGCTTTAAAAATAGGAATTACATTAGCCATCATATCAGATACTACACCTGTTTGAAGAGAAATATTAAAAATATTAGTCAATGGTTCACAAAGTTCCATTTTTACACTCCTTAAGAGCCCTAGAAAAAAGTTCATCAGGGCCCGGGGATTTATTTTGCTTCAGTCGGTCTATCTGTTTGATAACCATTTCGCTAGTGACTATGATATTGCATAATTTATCGTCTTCAAGCCCACTATAAAAATTTATTACTGGGATATTGTTAGTGTCCTCCTGAGTGAAAACTGAGAGAAAATAATTATTAAGAATAGAGCATATTTCATTCTCCTTGTCAGTAAGATGCCCAGAGCTATCTTGAAGGGGACCTATCTTATCTCTAGCTTTTGTTCTATAAACCTGGAAAAAGCTTTTCGGGTTAGTTTTTGATTCCCTAGCAACTTTAATTTCATAGTCCCATTTAGCTTTCCTTATCCCCTTTTTAATGTCCCTCTTAATGTCAATATAATGATTCACCTCTTTTGATGCACTTATAAATTCCTTTTTTCTATCCTAAAAGATATTTGAGCCTATTATTCATCCATTTTGGGTCATTTCTATTCGATCTAATTTCTTTATACGGGATAAATGTTCTCTGGGCAGCATGTATAGTGTTTAGAAAACTCTCATATTGATAGCTTTCTACGTTACCCCAGTCAACAGATGGTAAGTGTTCTCTAAGCCCATTGTAATCTGCTAAGCAAAAATCTGGGACTGTTACTGAGTTATCCCTAATATCATACTTCCATTCAATGCTAAATGTAATTGATTTGTGGTCACTTGTGCCAAGTTCCTCTGAAATTTTTAAATTATTAACAAGTGATTCCTTGTTTGCCAGAACCAAGTCAAGCAGGGTGTTACCCCTTGTAGGTTCTGTCACAAACTGCTTCAAAAAACAATCCTGAACTACTTCTAAAAAGTCATTAGATTCTAAATTTCCTGTCAAAAAATTCCAGTCAATCTAACTAAAATTAAAGTCTAAAAGAATTACAACATTATCGTGCCTTGTGGCCTTAACAATTTCCTCCCACAGTAGTCTTCCTTGGTCTCTGTCCAAGTTTGGGAGATGGTATATCACACCTAAAATCAATTTTTCATGCCCCTCTGAAAATTCTCCAAACAGACTCGGGGTTTTTTT